TTATTGAATTCCAGTTCAACATTAAACACAAGTGGTAAAAGTAGATAGCCTGGCCTATTTTGAGACTACAGGGGAAACTGACAATTCTTGTAGGTTACCTTAGATGCTATTTATCAAGTTTAGGTAGAACCCATTGAAAGTGAGAGGTTTAGGGTTTGGATTTTAGTTTGTTTCATTATAAATGGGTGTTGATAATACAAGTTTTCATTCCTGGGGTAAACCCTACTTACCATGATGTATTATCTTTATATATGTTGCTGAATTATATCTGCAGTTATATTTTTGCTAAGAATTTTTAACATCAAAGTTATGCTGACCTCATTACATGAAATGGCATATATTCTTGTCTAATTCCTAAAAACTATTTTGGAGTATTATTTCTTCCTTAAACATTTAATGGAATTCACCACTGAATTAATCAGGGCCTGGTGTTTCTTTGTGGGAAGGCTTTGGATTTAGAATTTTAAAAATAGATGTATGGATAGTCATATTCATATTTTTTGTTTACATCCGTCAGTTTTTAGTAGTCTGGAATTTAGAAATTTTTTCATCTAGGTAGCAAACTTATTGATCTAACATTGTTCATGATGTTTCCTTATAATCACTTTAAGGTTTTACTATAATGTCCATTTTTGATTTATCTTATGGATGACTTTCATTTTCTTCTTTGTTATATTATCAAACTAGAAATTTATAAATTTTATTAAACTTTTCAAAGAACTATATTTTGGTTTAATTGATTTTCTCTATTGTCTTTGGGTTTTTTATTACTGTTTTATACTTGTATTTTTATTTGCATCATTCTATTTAATTTGTATTTAAAAACTTCTGAAAGTGAGAATTTAAAATCACTATATAACTTCTTTTCTAACACAAATAATATTTAGAACTTCTAATATTCTGCCAAACACTATTTTAACTGCTTTCCACTTATTTTGATTTTGCATTTTTGTGTTTGCATTTTCGGTTGAAGTAGTTTTTAATTTCCCAGGTAATTTTTTCTTTGATCTACGGGTTCATAAAAGTACGTTGTTAATTTTTCAAACATTTGGATGCATCCCTGATACCTTATTTTTATTAATTTCTAGTTTAATTCCATTGTGACCAGAAAATATTGTCGGTATGATTTCAATCCTTGAGACTTCCATATGGGCCAGCCAATGATCTCTATTGGAGAATGTTACACACACACTTGCAAAGAGCGTCTATTCTGTTGTTGCTGGGTGGAGTATCCTATAAATATCAATTAGTTTAAGTGGCTTGTTAGTAATTTATAATTCCTCTGTATCCTTTCTGATGTTCTATTTACTTTGTCCGTTTATTACTGAGAGAGATGTGTTGAAATCTTTAGCTATAATAGGATGTATTTCTCTTTTTAATCTATCAAGTTTTGCTTCATGCATTCTGAATCTCTATTAACTGGTGGCATACATATTACAATTATTATGCTTCCTGATGAAATTATACTTTAATCATTATGAAATGTCTCTTTAGTCTCTGTCATCATTCCTGCTATAAAATCAACTTGAGTTTTCTCATATTAATATAGCCAGTAGAGCTCTCTGATGCTTAGGGATTGCATGATACATCTTTTCCCATTTATTATGTATAAAATATTTAAGATTTTAAAATATTAAACCTTTTAATATTTAAAAATGTTTAAAGTGGGGTTCTTATTAATAATTTGGTCTGACTTTTAAAAAATACATTTAGACCATCTCTTTGTCTTTGGAGTGCTAAGATCTTTTGTATTTATTGTTAACTATTGATATGTTTGGGTTTGGCTCTGCTACCTTGTTATTGTTTTCTATTTGTTTCATCTGTTTTTGTTCTCTTTTTCTCTTTCCTGCTATCTTTTGTATTAATTGAATGTTTAATGATGCTAGCTAATTTTGTTTGTTTGCTTGTTAAGCTAAAATTTGTTGCTTTAATAAACTGGTTGTTTTATATTTTAAAATATACATCTTTAAGTTGTCATAGCATACTTCAAGTGATAATATACTTTACATATATTACAAGAATTGTACAATAGTATACTTCTACACTTGATTTGATTTGCCAGAGGTTTATCAATTTTATTGTTATTTTCAAGAATGATCTGGGATTTATTTATTTTATTTTGTTTGTTTTCTAATTTGTTACTTTCTATGTACATCCTTATTAAATTATGTTTGTTCATCTTTGTTTAATAAATTATTATGTTTTCTTTTTGAATTACATTTATTGTTTTCTTTTTCATAATAGATGTATTTTCAGCTGTCAATTTTCAATGCACTATAAATTTGGTCATGTCTCATAAGTTTTAATATGTAGCATTCTACTTCATGTTAATAGTCTAAAGAACTTCAGTTTAAATTACCATGCTTAACCCAAAAGCTTTTTACAAAATAGTTTTAAATATTTCAAATGGTTACATATTGCTTAGTTTTAATGTTCTTATTTTTGCTATATTTGCATTTTAGTCAGGAAAATTTGTTTTTATATTTGAATATGAATTTTTGTATATAGCATTTATTATTCAGGAATACATAGCTGTGTGCTAACAATTCTGATATAGCTACTAATAAAATGAAATCATAGAATAGTAGGTCAGTAGTGAATTTACAAGATTGTCTAAACCACCTCTCTCATCTTATCTCTATCTTTAAACATAACAATATGTAGTGTTTACTTGAAAGAAATAGAGGCAAGCAAGGTTTCTTTGGTGGCTTAGAGATGCCATCCTTCCACCCTCTCAGTTGAAGCAATCAAGAGCCCAACAAAGCCAAAGAAGCTAGTTAGATTTTAATGGGCGCTACAGCAAGGTGAGAGCTGGAAAGGAAGAGAGCTCCAGAGATCTGCAAAGGGCCTTCAAGTGAGTCCTGATCAGTAAGACATCCTTAAATACCTTCCCAGAAAAGTAACTAACTGAAAGGATCAAAAGGAACAATACTCAAGATTCACACAAGACTGAGAATAGTTGCTATTCCCAAAAGTCAGAGAGGAAAAAAAATCTCTTAATAAATGGATACATGTTGACAATACTCTACCCTGAAGGATGAATCAGAATAAGAATAAATCCAAGTGTTCATCTATGATTGGGCAATAGTGTTAATGGGAAGTCTTCTGTGGGATTTTTTGAAAAAAAATGATCTTCCCTGAGAAAGAATCCTGAGAGGCAAACCAGAAGAAGGTCCTTTTGCCCCATCTCTCTTCTTTCCTTGGACACAGAGAGAATCTGTTTCTTATAGCAATGGCAATTTATGTCATCACCACAAGTCAACCAGCAGGAGGGTAAAATTCAAGATTTTTGAGACTAATGAAAGAATAGTATTTCCGAACCACCAAAGAGGCATCTGATAGAGCATTCAGAAACGTTCTTCCTTAGTAGTGGGGCAAAATTTGCCTTTCAATAAGTACTACATTGGTCATATATAACAAAGCTTAAAAGCAGAAAGGATCATCTGTTTCCAAGTAACTTAACTGTGCTCCAGAACTAACTTGAAAAATATTCATGAGAAGAAAAATAACCGGCATCCAACAGGATAAAACACACAATGCCTGACATTCAATAAAAAATTACTAGCCTTGCAAAGATGTGGGAAAAATGGGACCCATAATGAAAATGTGTATGTTTGTCAGCAGATTGCGGGAGCATTCCGCCTTAAATGCAGGCAATCAAGGGATGTGTTATCTATAAAGAATTTTAAAATAAGGATGAAATATTAAACACTGTTGCTGTTTATTAACACCAGTGGTTAATTTATCTAAACAAAGAAAGTCAATAAATATCCTTTCTTTGTAGAGTGGACTATTTTTACCAGTCCCCACCCTCTTGGCATGCCACTGGCTCACATGCTAGAGTATGATTTTATAAGGGTATTAAATCTTGATGATCTTTTTATTATGTTAACTTTTTAATGCAGTACATGTTAAATAATAGACATCAGTAGCTATTTATGGAATGAAGTTATGTTGGATTTTCTCCTATGCTTTCATGTAGAGAAAACCTCAACAATGAAAACCTTATGCAGAAATTCATGATATCAAATAGGCTGCATAAAGCTTAAGGAAAAAATGGGAAACCTTAATGTTTGACTATACTCATTTTCCTACTACATTACCAATATAAGGCAGTAATACGTCAAGATTTTAATAATACATAAAGATTTTAAATAATATCAAAAGTATCAAATTGTTGGTAAGGCAGACAGATAAAAAGAAATGCACCAAATCAATATAAATTTGTCTCTGAAATAATTTCATAGTTATTGAGGAAGTCTAAGCGCAATATTCCTTTTTGATAACCTTAAATATAGAAGTTATAGTTACAGGACATCTGTGGGCACAGAAGGGGTTTTTCCCAAGAAAAAACAAGGATACCGTGCACAATATTATTCATAGCATTTTTTATTTATTTGGTAATATATTTCTATATCATTTAATATTAAAACTTTCAAGAAAACTGTATGAATAAAATTTTAAAAATGTAATTGATCCATTTCTTCAAGTTAATGATCAAACTATAGAATTATTCTTTAATAATTAATTTACAGTTTTTTTGCATAAATAAGTTATATTTTACATGAGTGCAAAATAATTACACCCTCAAATTTAAAACTGCATAGTTCCAGAGGAAGGGAAATATGAAGATCTGAATTATATCCTGGTTGTATGACTTGGGACACCTAAATTAATCTTCCTAAGCATCGGTTTTCTATTTTGTATAAAAAAGACAATAAAAGTTACTCTGGCCACAAAAAAACTGTGATTAATTGAGCTATATGTGAGAGAACTCTGTAAAAGCACTGTTTAAAAATAAATTAACAGTAGTTGTATATATGTTTTCTAATAAAAGTGATCAAAATTAAAATAAAATGAAATATTTCTTCAAGAATCCCTATCTTACAACCAGATATTATATTTTACAGTTGACATAAATTTCAGACACATTGAAGTAAGTTTGTTTTGAAATTGTGGTACTCACTGAGTTAGATAAAACTAAATAAAAATGATAAACAACAGTAGCATGACAGTAGGTAATCGATTCTTTGGTCATTGTTTGAATAGAAAGTATAATCTTCTAAATATGATCTCAAAAATATCAGCAACAGATAATACTACTGTAAGTGCTGTAAATGTGTACATTGCAATGAGAAAAATGGTTTTTTTCAAAGTGTTCTGGACCCATGCATCTTATAATCATGTTTTCCCCAAGAGATCAAGCATCACACAGGTAGAGATTTTACTTTGAAACGAAAGAGATGAATCTGAAGCCAAAATGCTGTTGCCTCTAGACTAATTCTTAATAAAACAGAGAGTATATAAATTACAGTGTAGATAGGCTTTTGAAGAATGCATTCTTGATTGATGCTTTTACATGCAGGACATGCAGCATAAAGATGGAAAATACCTCCAGGAACCAGGACAATCATAGTTGTAATGCCCAGAACAACTAAAATATGTCAGAAATATCTTAGTAAAGCAATTAACCAATATGTAACTAAAAATACACTCCAATACACTAACTCCAAATACAATAACTTAAAAATTCCAAGTTTCATAAAAATCTTACCTATGTCTTAATATAATGAAGGTAGTAATGTTGAACATATTTATTTTTAAAACATAATCATATATTATTGTAATTGTCTCTCAATGACTGATAATGATGCAGTAGTTTATTAACCAGCTAATTCTATATTCTGAATATAGTTCTGGAGAATAATGATAACATCAGTAGATAATAAAATGCCAGAATTGGAAGAAACTCCTAAAATTCAATTTATCTGAAATATGCAGCTAATTAAAGAAAAAGCAACATAGTCCTTTAAAAAAAACTGTTAAGAATATTTCTCATATTATGACATTATTTTACATTTAAAGAGAAAATGAATTTGTTGTAAAGTTAATGTTTATGTACACACAAAAATACTTAACTTGTGGAGAGATTGGCCTGAACTGATTGTTAACAGATGAGATTTGTTTCTCTTTTGTCTGAATTGCAACTGAAGTGTAAGGCCTCATTCCCATAAACTGCAAAGCCTAGTACCCCAAGGAAGAACATTTGGATCGATCCAAAGAAACGGGTGTGGAATTGACCAATCGGATTTTAACCTGTTGTGATTTTAGAAGAAAAAAAAATATTTTAAAAACAAACAATAAAGGAGGACATTTAAAAAGTCCCATTACCACATTAAAAAAATGTAAGATTCAAGAAGTTTTGAAGCCAAATAGACCCTTAGAGATCATCAAATCAAATATAATTACTGCATTATGAGATTTCTCACTATTAAAATATGAAAATTTCTCACCATTAAACTATTAAAATATGTCTCCATTAGCAATGGAGACATGTTGCTAATTAAATGTGTAAATGTGGAAATACTTAACCAGCTTTGAATTCAATTAATACCCCCACCACGGTCATTCTTTTGAAGTAAAATCAGAATATCTAGCACTTCTTTTTGCAAATTAGATAACAAATCCAGTAGTAAGTTTGGTCCATACACCATCTTAACAACCAAATAATGTTTATTAGTTATAATTACAGTTTTTCTTCCTACTTCTTAATTATGGAATTGAGAGAGTGAGCTATGCTAAAACAACAACATCTAAAGACATTTCCTGAATTTTTCTTTTTATAATTTTAAATTAAGAATATTTTGAAGTATATTGTTGATACTTATAGTATTCTCCACAGACATAGAGGAATTTATTCACCAAGGCTTATGTAAATCAGGTTAAAATACTCAGAAAAGATTCATACAATTGATTTTTTTGTTTGCATAATACTTACATATCCTTCATAGAAGTTTCTGATGTAATTTAGAGACATGTCTCAGGAGATGTTATCCTGGCATTCCTGTGGGTTAATTCTTGACCCACATTGCCAGTTTGCTTCTGCCAGAATCAAACTCTTACATTCTCTCAGGACTCTTAGAGCAGAAAACACTCATCACTACAAATTTCTCTCCCCTCCTCCTTTTCTCTTAGATCTCTGGGGTCCCATTCAACCTTACTATCTCTGTCTCCCCAAAAAATGAAAACAAAGAGACAAAAGCAGAGAACATGTGGCCAATCTAATAATCCCTTGACTTACACTATCAGCATAGCCAGCCAGCCAGACAGCCAGGAGAACCAGCAAAGCAACAGGCCAGCCCCACAAAGGCTCTGAGCACTCAACGCTTCTGCAATTACCTGAAAATTGCCTGTATGTAAATTAGTGGGTTCTTTATCTTGGAGTTTTCTCTGATAATGTTGAAGCAATCTTTTTTTCTTTTTATTTTATTTAGATGTTTCCTAAAGGATAAGTACGTGGGAAATATTCCTGATTCTTTATTGTTTACTACCATAGAGTATAATTAATTTCTGGGTAGTCTAAGAAATTGTAACACAGGATGTAATAGCTATTGCATCATTGAATATTATTGATGTATTGCTATATTTGTCTAGTTTTGAATGCTTGCCACAGACATGGAAAATTCTATAATTAGATCTCTGGGCTAAGGAAAAAGATAGGGAACTGCTAATTCAGGCAAGACCAGGAGCTAGCACACATTGTGAGAACAATCCTTCCCATCGTTTCTTTTGTCCTTCAGTAGATACATCATCTTTTGGACATTGTTATGGGTGTTGAGGATCAGCAGGGATCAAGACAGACCAGTAACTACTTTCTGACTTACATATCTGCTTACTGTCTTCCATCCACCTATAATGTCATACAGCTAATCATTGATCATATCTGCTTTCTTCACTTGCCTTTCTCATTTTCTTGTGATCTGCCAAAGGTTGTGACTCTAGACACCGTCACTGCTTTCTTCTAGGAAGTGGAGAAGTGACTGCATGATACATATATTTGTAACTAATAAACAAGGGGCAGGAGTCTTGTTGAATAGGAGTGCTGTGCTGGATAGGAAGTAATAAAAATGAACAACTTAATGATCCCTCAGAATGACTAGATAAAAGATATTTATGTATATTCCCATCTTCTCAGAATGAGAATTTCAGGGTTGCTTTGTGTTGATTCCCATAAAGGGACATCTAAAAGCCCGAACAACCATTTGCATAAGAAGGAATCCTGCTTTGGCTTTTACCAATATACAGTAATGAATGCTATTGTTTAGTCAATAGTATACAATTATCAGACGTGTAGAATCATCAATGTCTCCTTTCAGGGGTCTTGAACCTTAACTGTAAGTGTAGAAGAAGGAAATGAAGCATCATCGTCATTGCTGAGATCTATGAGGGGCCATGTAATTAATACTGATCTTTCTTTTACATGTTCTGATCCAATTGGGTAATAACACAAAGGAATAAAGCATATGTGGGCCAAAATATCACACATAAAGATTAGACTGAGGAGGGATGTTGCTTATCCCTTTAGGAAACTGTGATCCTTAGTGACACTGGCCTCACATGTATGGTAATTGGTAAGGCTATTTATTGGAGTGACAACCTGGGTTTCTTGCATACTAACAGTTAACAGGTTCCAAAAGCAGAGAAAAGGTTACTCCCAGTGCATAAGCATTGTTTAAGCCTCTGCTTGCTTCATATTTGCTAATGTTATATTAGGCAAAGAAAGTTTCAAGACAAACCCATATTTGAGAAACATATTCTACCGCTTGATGGATCTGTGAAGTCACATTGCAGAGGTGTGGGTGTAAGAAAAGAAAATATTTGTGGCCAACTTTATATTCTATCATAATGCGCCCACTGGTTACAAATATTAGCATCCCTCCCACATGTCTTCACCATCATTCCAGGATGCCAAAACTGTCATCTAATTATAGAACTAAGATTGAAGTCCAGGATTTTGTGATTGGCGTTATATCTGGATGTGGCTACTCTTGATCTAGAATCTAGAGAAACAAAGGGAAAAGTTGTATTCTACATTATATCAATATACAATGGTGTTACAGGGATAGGATAACTATAATAGACACTTCCACTCCAAAAGTGGGAGAACAGAAAATAGGTAACTGTCACTGTCCATAACAAGCCTGGAATCTTGTGAGGAAAAATATTGCCAGTTGTCCCTACTCTGGAAGCAGGGAACATTTCATGAGTAAGTCATGGTAGTATTACCCAGAAAGCTGTTCCATAGTATATTATACTTTTCTACTTAATGGAAGTGGTTCTCTGGTACATTGTTGTCAGTGGCCTGTAGCTCTATTCTCTGTATTCTTGGCTGGAAGCATCTTCCCTTTTTCATTTAAAAAGAAATTACTATGCTCAAATAAATAACTTGCGCAGACTGCTTCTTGCCTGAAGAAAGATGGGGGACCAGAAGTCTTTTTTATAATTTGACCAATATCTGTTTTCTTTAAGCCAAAGTAATAGTTGTTTTGGTAGTATAATCTGCTTAATTATCCTTTGGTTTTCTGTGTAACAGATTTCATATACTTAGCTTTAGTAAGAGTCATGCAATTAAACACATACTTCTCCCTACAAACATATTTATGCCTATTTTAGGATTAGGCTTTTCTGAAGTGCTTTTAAGATATATAGAAATCTTTTGTCTAATTGAGATAGCCATTAGTCATGCCTTAAATATATGAAAAGCCTTATCAAAGGACATTATATCCACGCCATTAATTTGACTTTTACAGTAAGACCATTTGTTAATTTTTTTCTCATTTTTAAATTGTAAATTTTTTGTTTCTTATTATACTTTAAATTCTGGGGTACATGTGCAGATCTTGCAGGATTGTTACATAGGTATACACATGCCATGGTGGTTTGCTGCCTCCATCCCCACTTCACCTACATTAGGTATTTCTCCTAATGTTATCCCTCCCCAACCCCCCTGCCCCATGCTATTGTTCCCCAAGCCTCCCCACCCCCCAACAGATTCCAGTGTGTGATATTCCCTTCCTTGTGTCCATGTGTTCTTATTGTTCAACACCCACTTATGAGTGAGAACATGTGGTGTTGGTTTTCTGTTCTTCTGTTAGTTTACTGAGAATGATGGTTTCCAGCTTCATCCATGTCCCTGCAAAGGACATGAACTCATCGTTTTTATGGCTGCATAGTATTCCATGGTATATATGTGCCATATTGTCTTTATCCAGTCTATCTTTGATGGGCATTTGGGTTGGTTCCAAGTGTTTGCTATTGTAAACAGTGCCACAGTGAACATATGTGTGCATGTGTCTTTATAGTGGAATGATTAATAATCCTTTGGGTATATAACCAGTAATGGTATTGCTGGGTCAAATGGTATTTCTAGTTCTAGATTCTTGAGGAATTGCCATACTCTCTTCCACAGTGGTTGCACTAATTTACACTCCCACCAACAGTGTAAAAGCGTTCCTATTTCTCCATATCCTCTCTAGCATCTGTTGTCTCCAGATTTTTTAATGATCACCATTCTAACTGGCATGAGATGGTATCGCAAAATGGTTTTGACCCCATCATCTCAGCCCCAAATCTCCTTAAAAGGATAAGCAACTTCAGGAAAATCTCAGGATACAAAATCAATGTGAAAAAATCATAAGCATTCCTATATACCAATAACAGACAAACAGAGCCAAATCATCGCAAACTTCCATTCACAATTGCTACAAAGAGAATAAAATACCTAGGAATACAACTAACAAAGGACGTGAAGAACCTCTTCAAGGAGAACTACAAACCACTGCTCAAAGAAATAAGAGGGGACACAAACAGATGGAAAAACATTCCATGCTCATGGTTCGGAAGAATCAATATTGCAAAAATGGCCATACTGCCCAAAATAATTTATAGATTCAATGCTATCCCCATCAAGCTACTATTGATCTTCTTCACAGAACTGGAAAAAACCGCCTTAAACTTCATATGGAACCAAAAAAGAGCCCGCATAGCCAAGACAATCCTAAGCAAAATGAACAAACCTGGAGGCATCACACTACCTGGCTTCAAACTATACTGTAAGGCTACAGTAATCAAAACAGCATGGTACTGGTACCAAAACAGAGATATAGACCAATGGAACAGAACAGAAGCCTTGGAAATAACGCCACACACCTACAACCATCTGATCTTTGACAAACCTGACAAAAACAAACAATGGAGAAAGGATTCCCTGTTTAATAAAGGGTGTTGGGAAAACTGGCTAGCCATGTGCAG